TGGTATTTCGATTATTAAAATATAACTACTATTCTAAATCTATATGTACTTTAGTTTCATTTAGTTTATATACCATCGGTTTTCCGTTTATTCAATTTTATACCAAAAAACATGATTATTTAGTTTGAGATCATATTATATATTATACAAATATATAATATGATCATATTTAGAATCATATTGTCGCAGAGTCATTTATTAAAAAAATATTATATATTTAAATAAAAGAATAAAAAACAAAAAAGGCTTCTATCATCTAATAAAATGATCAAATCTAGAATTTATATCAAAACACTAAATTTTGAAGAAAAAAAACAAAAAAAAAAACAAAACAGAAGCATGAAAGAAAAGTTTTTATATTCTTCCATATTTAGTGTTCATCAAACCAATATGTCTTCGATTGAACACAACTATATTTGTTTAGAGATAAAAAAAAAAGTTGTAAAGAATTTCAACTAATTGTTGTCCATCAAATTTATAATCTTTACTTCAATTTAGTTACTGTTAAAAAAGCAAAAGATCAAAATAAGAAGTCTAAGTTGTAATAAATTGTTAGCTATTTACAAATTATAATTATAGTTCAACTCATGTAACAAATAGATATTCATGCGTCGTTATAAATATATCCATATTTACATGTTTCAGTTTAATCGGTTATAAATCAAACCATATCCAAATCCTATGGTTTTTTATAAAATCACATCCATTCGGTTTGTATGGTATATACCAAAAATAACCATATTATCGATTTTTAATATCTTTTAAAAATATAAAATTAAAAAAAAGAACTAAGATATTTAAATCATTGATAAAAAAAAATTTCAATGTGAAAAATTTAATAATTTATAAATGTTCTTGAAAATTTATTGAGGATTTTGAAATTAAAATATTTATGTAATCTTATATGGTATATAGTTTAATCTGTATATATATTTGTTTTATTATTGGATGATACTTTTTACTTATATGGTTTTAAAATCATGTATATCATTTTATAATAAAAATGCTAAACTGTTGATAATTAATTTTTAACATAATAATTTTAATAGTTTAGTTATTTATTCTCGTTTTTTAAAATTCAAAATATAACCTATACGAAAAAAATATAAAGTTTAATTTTATAGCTAATTTGATTGTTTAACTTATTTTAATAATATAAAATTAAAGAAAAATGATGGAGGATATATAAACTGTTATCAAATATTTATTATTAGAATCATTAAGTGTCATATTGTATATATATTAGTCATTTATGGTAATTCCATAGGTTTTATTTATGGAAAGAAAATAAAATAATAATTATATCTAGGGGAACAATTATAAATGCTTCTATCATAAATATCATATTATATCATCATATCATATAATTTGACCAACGAATGTATCTAGCGACATATATAAATCGAATGTGGACCTATTTATTTTTCAATTGAATGTAATTGACTACCTAATTGAGTGACACCTAAGCATGGGGTCTTTTTAATTATTACAAAATTGACGTTACAATTTTTTAAATGTTTCTCCTTTAATATATAAGGGATTTCATATACAATTTATTAAATCTATACTATTATTTAAGAAGTAAATTTGCTTAGTTATCATGTTCTCCTTAAGTTTATGTAATTTTTTTTATTTATCTTATTTAAATAATTTCATATACAATTTATTATTTAATAAAAACGAATTGAAGTTCATAATATTATATTTTAGAAAATATGTTAATTATTTTGTATTAAATTGTTATCTTAAAAATATATTTTCTATTATAAAATTTAAGTGAATTTACTAATTAATTTGTAATTTTTCCATGGTTTTTGTAATTTTTCTTCTTTTTTATATTTTTAATAATCTTATGAATAATTTATCATATAATAAAACGAATTTCTATTAATAATATTATACTTTTAGAAAATAAGATAATTCTTATGTATTATATTGTTATCTTTAAAATATATATTTTACTATCTATAACATTATTTGAGAAGTAAATTTGCTTAGTTGTCAACTTCTCCATGATTTTAGGTTATTTTGCTTATTTTCATGTTTTAATAATTTATTATATAATAAAAACGAATTTATGATAATAATATTATATTTTTAGAAAATATGTTAATTTTTTTTTTGTATTAGATCGTTTTATTAAAAATATATTTTTCAATTATTATTTTAGAAGTAAATTTGCTTAGTTGTCAACTTCTCCATGATTTTAGGTTATTTTGCTTATTTTCATGTTTTAATAATTTATTATATAATAAAAAAGGTTTGTGTTAATAATATTATATTTTAGAAAATATACTAATTCTTTTGTATTAGACTGTTATCTTAAAAATATATCTTCAGTTATAAAATTTAAGTGAATTTTCTGATCTATACTATTATTTGCGAAGTGATCTTTTGCAACGGAGCTCTCACGTTAAAAGTTAGAGTGGTTAATATCGTTTATACCCTTAATGAAAATAATATATAAATTACATACAAAATAAAAACGAATTTAAATTATTTTTATTAGATAAGTAACGAAAACTAATAATAATCATAAGAATTATCCAAAATCTAAATAATATTTTTTTAAATAAGATAATTTTGATATATGTTGTGATGTTATCTGAAATTATATTCTGATAAAAAAGTTAACAATTAAAACAATATCGCAACGGAGCTCCCACGTTAAAAGTTAGAGTGATTAATATCGTTTATACCCTTAATGAAAATAATATATAAATTACATACAAAATAAAAACGAATTTAAATTATTTTTATTAGATAAGTAACTAAAACTAATAATAATCATAAGAATTATACAAAATCTAAATAATATTTTTTTAAATAAGATAATTTCGATATATGTTGTGATGTTATCTGAAAATATATTCTGATAAAAAGTTAACAATTAAAACAATATAAAATACATAAGTAAATATTAATCAAGTCAACTTCTTAATTTTATATAATTGAAAAATATTATTTGATTTAAAATTATTTATAATAGTAAACACAAATTAAAAAGAAATATATGTAAGAATTGTTAAATAAAAGTATAAATATTATTGTTTTCAAAAAATAAAACACAACTAATGCTTTATCATTATAATCTTTCAATTAGTAAAAGATGTACGGAAAAATAATTATAAAATGTTTAGGCCCGCAAATGCGAGCAAAGCACCTACTAGAAATTAAAAATTAAGTGAAAATATTTAGTTAAATATAAAGAAAGCAATGTTGATTTATCAATTTCTCCATGGTTTTATATTTTGCTTATTTATCATATTTTAATAATTTCATATATAATTTATTAAATAATAAAACGAATGTATACTAATAATACTAGATTTAAAAAATAAGATAATTCTTATGTATTAGATTGTTATCTTGAACATAGATTTTCTATAAGAAAATTTAAGTGAATCATCTGATTTGTGATTTCTCAATGATTTAGATAATTTTGATTATTTGTCATCTTTTTAATAATTTCATGTAAATTTATTATAAAATAGAAACGAATTTATATTAAAAACTATATTTTGAGCAAATAAGATACTTCTTATGTATTATATTGTTATCTTGAAAGTATATTTTTTATTAAAGAAATAAAAATTAAGATATAAAAATTATAATAAAAATAAATTAAAGCAACACATTTGTAAAAATATATTTTTAAAAACATTTTGTTATGTGAGTGTTGTCATTTATAATTAATTTAAAACATAAATCATAACTTTTTATAATGATTTGAATTAATAAAATATAGACTAATAATAAATAGTACGAACGTAATTAATTTTAAAATATAAATCATAACTTATTATATTGGTTTGAATTGATAAAATATAGATTAATAATAATTTGTACGAAAAATTATGCCCGCATGTGCGGGTAAAACACCTAGTTATATTTTATAAAATAATTTAATTCTTATGTATTATGATGTTATCTTGAAAAAATATTTTTCTATTTAAAATTTAAAATTAACATGTAAAAAATCTGTAACATTATTTAAGAAGTGAATTTGATGTTTGCTGATTTTTCATATTTTCCATAATTTTAGTTAATTGTGATAATTTATCATTATTCTATATTTTTATATATAATTTATTATATATTTAAAAAAAATTTGTATTAATAGTATCAGATTTTTAGAAAATAAGATACTTCTTATATATTAAGTCGCTGTCTTTGAAAATATAATTTTCTATTAGAAATTTAAAATTAAGATATAAAAAGTTGTAGTTATTCTATAATTGAAATAAATTTACACTAATAATATTATACTTTTTTTAAAAATAAGGTAATTCTTATGTATTATATTGTTATCTTGAAAATATATTTTTATATTATATAATTTAAAAGTAAAATAGAAAAATTATCTATTATTAACTAAATATAAATCATCACTCAAGAAAAAATATTTAAGAAGTGAATTTTCTGATTCATTAAGTTCTCCATGATTTTAGGTAATTTTAATTATATGTCATAATTTCTATAGTCTTATATAATTATTATATAATTAAAACAAATTTATCATATTATATTTTTAGAAAATAAATAACTTATGCAATATATTGTTTTTTATTTTAAAATTTATAATTAAAATATAAAAAATGTAATTATAAATTAAGTAAAATATTTGTATAAACTTATTATGCTGATTTTTAAATTAATAAAATATCAACTCATAAATATTCATAAAACAATTATGCCTGTAAGTACGGACAAAACACGTTGTTTTATTTTATAATGACAGTACTGTATCTAGCTGAGTAAACAAACATTACCCAAAATATAGCTAACAACATGACTTTTTATCAAAGGAAATTCGTGCCAGTTTTATATTTCAAAAGGGAAATACACGGCGGGTAAAAAGTTCGAACGGCATCCACTCGTGCGGGTGTTGAAATTGAGGGATTAAAATTTAAAGAAAAAGATAAAGTAACTAAATCCATGTAAATAAAACGTTTAATGTAATTATTACATCAGAACTCACCTCTGTCTCTTATATGTCTCTCACTCTCTATCCAAAGAATAATTAAAAGAAAAAAAGAAAAGAAAAGGAAGACAAATTCCGGAAAACCGACGCAGAATCATCGCCGCCATCGTCTTTCTTTGCAATCTCGCCGGAATCAATTCGATTCGTAATAACATCCGTACAATCTTCACCCTTTCCCCGGAAAATTAAATTGTTTTGATCTCTTTCTTTCTGGATTCTTTCGGTTTTAATTTTATTTGTTGAAAAGTTGGAATCTTTGGTTTCGATTGAGATTAAAATATGGATTCCGATTCGTGGACTGATCGTCTCGCATCGGCTTCAAGGAGATACCAGCTCGATTTCTTGTCCCGATCTGGTGAGTCCCAATTTAAAGAAAAACATTATATATTTTGAGATTTGATTATTCTTGGCTTACTTTAAAGATGATATTGTTGCGATTATGTGAATCCTTATTTCGTTTGATGCTCAATGTTTCTTACGGTGATGTCGAATTTGTTTTATTCGTTTTCCTGAGAAGGCAAAGTTTTTGTTTTTGAGGCATTTGACTCATGTGGGGGCGTTATGGATTTAATTAAGCGTGTGTGCTAGTTTATACCAAGAGTTTGTTCTTGGGTTTCGGTATGAACAACTCAATAGTTTGAACCTTTTTGATTCTTGTTTCACCAACAAGAAATTCAAAAATCTTGTTGTTTTGGTGAAACGTTTAGTTCTAGTTTCATCTCAAAACATATTTGACAGGGAAGGTTATCGATTTGCTAGTGTTTCCATCGTTTATTACTTATCTCAACGTTTCTTCTAATCACGATTTATATTTGTCGCCATATATTTGTAACCAGCAAGAATGGAACGCATTTTTAGTAGTCCTTTTATTTAATTTTTAACGCTCTGTTTTTGTACTTGTGTCATTTGTAGTTGTTTTTCTCGCTGCATTGGATTTGACCCATTTTTTTAAACAAAAATGAATAACGCAGATAATTTCTTGGGGTTTGAGGAGGTAGAGGGAGAAGATGATTTCAGGGAGGAGTATGCTTGCCCCTTCTGCTCTGACTACTTTGATATCGTGTCTCTCTGTTGCCACATAGACGAAGATCATCCTATGAACACAATCAATGGGGTAAATATATTTCTTCCATATTACTATTCCTTAACTAACTTTTTCTTCTCTATGGATCGCGTTAATGTTTTATCACAATGCTTAAGTGGTAGATTAGGTAGAACACTGTTCTTTGTTTAGTAGTTTCTCATCTTGGATGTAATGATATTGAGGTGAGAGTAGCCCTTGTTTGTTGTCAGTTACAGAACCCTTGTTTGCTGTCAGGACAGTTGCTACAAATGGTTCTTGTGTTTGACATTTTCTGTCTCCTTGCAGGTATGCCCTGTCTGTGCGGTGAAAGTGAGCTCTGATATGGTTGCTCATATAACCCTTCAACATGCAAATATGTTCAAGATATCCTTTTTGTTTCTTTCCCCCTTAACCGTTATTTTACTTATGTGATTCCTCAAAATGAGTGTGTTTCATTCATTCCTTAACGAAAATATTACGTGACCACTAGAAAAAGGAAATCAAGAAGAGGCGGGGCTCAATCCATGCTATCAATCTTGAAGAGAGAGTTTCCTGATGGAAACTTTCAGAGCTTGTTTGAAGGAACCTCCTCGCGTGTTGTGCCTCCTTCCTCTGCCACTATAGCTGCTGACCCGTTGCTGTCTTCCTTCATTACGCCCATGGCTGATGAACTTTTCATTCCAGAGTCAAGTTCTGCCAAGAAGGCATCGATTCATAGTTTGCCTGAACGGTATTTGCTTCCTCATCCTTGGAATGATTACAAACAGAGTCTTGATATTCTCACTGCATAGCCCTCTCATGATTCTTTGTCTTATGGTGGATTTTTACAGGAATGTTGAAAAAAAGTCACTTTCAGCAGAGGATCACAGAGAGAAGTTGAAACAGAGCGAGTTTGTTCAAGGGATCTTCAGCTCTGTGATTCTTAATGATGGTTTATAAAGGAGAAAACATAACTTCTCTACGGTTATTAGATCATTCAGCCATTGGGGAAAAAAAAGAATGTAACAGAGTTGTTGTTTGTTCTCAACAAGTGATCTGGAGAAGGGTTTGGGGATAACCAGAGAGCTTTGTATTGAAGAGTCAAGAGAAGACATGAATAAATGAGTATTATTTATCTTATCGAACACATACTTTCTCTAGTGAGCACTCGATTTGTCTGTAGACTGTAAGAAAACAACAACAGAATAAGTGTATGTATTTCATTTACATATATGCATTGCGTTCTTAAGATCTTCAATATAGATTCTTTATGTTCTGTTATGTAAAGAGGTCTTTGTTATTAGGACAAGGCATGGAAAAGAAAAAACAAATATTGATATAAACAAATTTGGACTCTAACGAGAAGAGAGTCATCAGCAAACACATAGATGGAACAAATTTATCTGCGTGAACACTGTGATACATTGTGAAACTTGTGAATATGATTTTAAACTGATAGTAGATGGTATTGTGAAACTTGTGAATATGATTTTAAACTGATAGTAGATGGTAGGAGCCGCGCGAACGCAGGCTCCCTCTGCCACAAATAATGACACAGGCTCTCCCACTTGGGGAGACCTTAGGCTAAGCACCCCTCCTTAGAGTGCAATGGAGGTCACTAGCCTAGGCCACTCATCTTCTTGATCATGAGTTGACCCTGTCCAGGTAAGTGATTTGCTTGTTCACTCCACTTCCCTTCTTATACTCTCCTCTGCGAGTCTTTCTTTCTAATGTAAGCGATGTGGGACTATTTGGGAGCAAGTTTCTCGCTCTGACACAAAGTTTTTCTTTAGTACAATATACATACAAGCTGATACCATAGGCCCAGTTACGTGTGTTGAGCATTTCTTGTTACATTCTGGACACTCACACAGCTTGGTCATCGCCTGTATTTTGCTCATCCTTTATTTTGTATTTTTTTGTGGACCAATATTTATATTTAATCAACAAAATCTCACATATTACTTAGTTTTCTTGTGACCTTCCAGAAAATAAGCTGATCTCTTTGTTGCCCCATACAACAACCTACAGCTCTTGACTACTGTGACCTGTTTTTTTTTTCTAATAGAAATTGTAGATTTGCTCTGATGATTCTTGTCTTCACTAGATTTACAGATATATTGGGAATCAGCCTCTTTGAGCTGAGTGAGTATAAACATAGAAAAAGGTTAAACATCCCCAGTAAACAAATAGATTTTTGTTGTTGTTATAATGAGTGTTGCTAGCTTAATCATATTTGCTCTAATGAAAACTCGATGCTTCATACGGATTGGTGTTTGTATTAAGTTTAACAGGTACATTATTTTTTTTTTGAACGGCTTTAAAAAGGGGTGCAACACGAGAACAGGTACATTATAAACATAGATACTTTTCACTTTAAGACAAGGATGCCTTCTTCAAACCAAAATAAAAAGACAAAAGCTCATAGGTTAAGAAACAAAACTTGAACTAGAAAGATTGTAGGGCTTTACCCCGAAGGGAGCCCTTCCAGAAATTCTCGAAGGTCCAAGACAAAGCTTAGACCTAAGAGGGGGTTTGGAAATAGTTTTCAACCAGCAATAGACGCGCCTCGGTTAGTACCTCATTAGCTGCGTCATTGCCCCAAGCGCAAAGATGAGTTGTAATAAGTGAGAGCCTCTTTGTTTTATACTCAAGACAAAACCAACTTACGTGATGTACACTTCCGATGTGGGAGAGTGGATTTGTAGAACCAAATCAGTTGTTATCTTTCTGCATATTATAATTGTTCTCATGTCTTCACATAAATACAAATTACCAAACACTTCTTTATACAAGGGAATTTACAAACAATTGTGTGACTGATAAAAAGTTTAAAACTACAAATCGATAGTAGTGTAGCAAGGACCGTGTATATGATTATTAAAGACTATTTTTTGTTGTTCGAATAAGTATTTTATGTCTTAACAAGTAAAGCAACAAGAAGAACAGATGATAATAGTTCATTTAGAGAATCTCAAGCACAGAGACACACAAAGATAAGAAATAACAACAGAATAAGTGTATGTGTTTCATTTACATATATGCATTGAATTCTTAAGATCTTGAGTCTAGTTTCTTTATGTTCTGTTATGTAAAGAGGTCTTTGTTATTTGGACAAAGCATGGAAGAAAAACAAATAACAAAGACCTCTTTTACATAACAGAACTGAGGTGTTTATCGAGAAGGGAGTCATCGTCTCAGCAAACACATAGATGGAACCAATTTATCTTCGTGAACACTGATGTCTTGCATTATTGCATTGTTTTATCTACTCTTTTGCATACCTTTTCATCATGTAGGTTAGGTTCTAGCCATGTTTAGGTTGCATTTTGCATACATGAGTCCCTTTTAGGTATTGGAGCATCACATGGAGCTTTTGGAAGCATTTGGGATTCATCAGGGGGCTCAAGGGAGGCAAAAGGAGTGACCTAAGTCC